GCACACATGCAACTTACCTTCTTGTATCACTTTCACTTTCATTTGTCTTTCAATTTCATTGCCCATGTATATTATTGAGAATAGAGGTATGTGAGTACATTGAGGTTGTGCACTAATGCTGTCACCACAGCTCGTATAAATTCCCTCATGGGGCACCGAACATTCGTTCAGTATTCGTCCCGAAGGACCTGTCCAGAGGTTACAAAGAACCCCGGTAACTATCCCTAGGTCATAAAGATCCTCGGCAACTATCCATATGTTCCTTTCAACATAGGTAAACCCTCGACTCTTGGCATGCCAACTATACCTATAGCTCTCGTATCATATACTATGGGCATTTATTTATACATTTCGTATCACTTGTTCTTTCTCTTCTGTCACATACCACATGTATGTGTAACCATATATCTCATATCATATCACATGTATTATATATATACATGTATTCATGTAATTCATATCACATATATCACATGTGCATATAAGCTTATAGCTTCTTTCACATATACATGTAGTCACATAGCTTTCTTTCATGTAACCATGCATGTCATGTCAAATAACATATATCATATGTTGCATTTTCACTTAAGCATATAAATCATATAACATAGCATCCATCTATTTCTATGTATTAATGCATACATGGTAATCACATAACAATTTAGAAGTTACTTCTTACCATAGTAACTCCATCACTGGCTCATCACAAGCCAATGTTAATTCAATAAAATAAGCACAAAATAAATTGCACTCACCTTAGCTTTGCTTTGATTCGATTCTAATTCCTCAATTGTCCCGAAATGGATCACTTTCTATCTCTACATAACAATACACAGATTCATATCAATATTCCAATTGATATATTCTAAACTGTCACTTCTTAGGCTAAGAGAAAAGCCAATTTCCTCTTTCAATGAAGGTATGCATCGATGCACTACTTGTGCATCGGTGCATAAAATGCATTCGATGTTTTTATTTTAAAAGGATGCATATATGCATTATCTATGCATCGATGCATCAAAGGCATTCGATGTTCTTCTTTTAAAGGAATGCATCGATGCACTTATGAATGTGCATCGATGCACCTTGTCCAGAAATTGTATTTCAAGCCCGAAATTCATCAATTCTTCATTCAATTCTTCTATTTTAATCCCCTATTATGACTTTAAACTCAACTATCATTATTGAAACCAACTTATGACCATATAAATCATATTTATCTTCCATATTTCATCAAGATTCTTAAAATTTAAGAATCTTTCTAAACTTTCAAATTTGTTATAAATCTTTTCTAACTTCATAAATCTCTTATTCTTCTTGATGACAAGTCAAATTCCATCTTAAAAATCTCTTATTAACTCTTTTCCAAAATTTCCTTTAAAAACTCATTTTCTTTAATCTTTCATAACTTCTTTATCTTTCAATCTTAAGATAACCTAAGCTTTCCTTAAGCTTAGTTATTATCTAATGATCAAAACCTAACCATAAATTTAGCAAATAACCAACTAACAAAGAAACTCACCTTTGCAAGCTTGGCTCTTCACGTTTGAGAGAAGATGAAGATGAAGAAGATAAGTCTAAAACTTATCTCTTCAATCATACATCTCATATATTATAATACCCATTTATTAATATTTAATATTATCTTTGTTCAATGACCATTTTGCCCTTCATCTACTTTAATAATTACTAACAACTTTTAGGAATTATTTCCAAATAAATCATTGAATTATTCCATTCTTCTACTTAATTCATCAAATTCTTAAACTTTACAATTTAGTCACTAACCCCTAGTTTGGGATGTTACACTAATTGTTGTTTAGGTCCCTCGTTTTGTAATATTTTGTTTTAGCCATTAATGAAACTTTGTGATATTTTACTTCGAGCACTTATCTTTCAATGTTTTCATTTAAGCCATTATCCTACGTATTATGCTATTTGCGTTGATATTGGACTCTGGTTATAATATTTGTAAACCTTTCATTTCATTCATTGCTTTGTACGTTGTTGCTTTTAGGTATAATTCTTATTTACCGTTACTAATTTCTGGTTTGTCTTATTTTGGTCCTGTATACTGCTTTAGGATTTATTTCAGTTTTAGTACTCATGTTATATGATGTTTACACATTAGCTATGATTTTATATATGTTTATTATTATGCCTCTAAAGTTATTATTCTTGCTATTTAGTCCTTATTTACTAGGTATGATTAGATTCTTTAATTTGTCTCTTAGCCTACCATGTTTGTATATATATATTTTAGTCCAAATTTGTAACTTTGTTATGCATGTGCATATTTATTTATATATTTCAATTTATACTTTTTATTTTGATTCCTTTACATATTTAAACATGTATTTATTTATTTCTAGCTATTAATTTATATTCCTCTATTTGTCATCACTCGAATGTTTTTCAAGAACACTGATTTGTAGAATGATCGTGGAAAGTACTGTTTGGTCGAAGTAGTGCGATCCGATTCGACATTCGAACGAAATGGGAACTTGAAATAAATCTAGTTCATTTTACTAATTAAATCTTTTTTATTCAAATAATCCAATGCGTTTTTATGTTGTAATTTATTTTACGCAAATGTCGATTTTCCATTTATATTCGATTTGCGTTTTTTAAATCAATGAAGAGAGAATATTCTTTTACATATAAGAAATAGGCGAGATATCTTTCCCGATGGAGGATTGGTAATTTCGAGATTTCTTTTCAAGTTAAAGAATTTTCCCTAATAATTTAAATAATTTAAAGCAACTTAATAAATGTATCATATTCTAACTTTATATTCGATTCATGATTTCCACCATTACAACAACGTGTAAGCGGCAATTTTGGGTGTTGTGGAGGTGCTAATCCTTCCCCACGTGTAATCGACTCCGAACCAATAAAATTGAGTTTTGGCAAACACATACCAATTTTTGTCTTAAAAATGATTTTTTTCTTAAAATTATTTTTAAAGACAGTTTTAGGTATTCGACCTACCTAGCCCAAAGGTCGATGGCGACTCCTATTCAATTTAATTCAAATTAATTCAACGGTATAATGTATAATTACACTCTTGTTCCTTCTATATTCTTTATAAGCTTAAAATCCCCTTTATAACATCTACATGGCTAATTTCTAATTCGATTAAACTCAAATTTGAACCAAGGGACCTTCATTTATTAATAAATCTATTAAATAAATTATTGGGTCGACTCTAAACTAGTAGGCCGATAATCGGGGCATTACACTAGCACTCTTCATAGAAGATGCAGAGGTCTTTAATGGATAAAATTATGTTTTAGGTATAATCATCCATATCTAATCTATTAATCGATTAATTCGGATCAATCATTGCAGAGGTAAAGACGACCCTCTCAATCCAGTTTACTTCATTTGCAAACGCTAAAATGCGGTTGTCCTTTAGATTATCATAATTGAATAAATTAGGTCACCATTCAAATAATTACTTACCTAATCTAAAATAATAATAAAAATTCTATACATGACCATACTTAAATCAGAGTAAACTTATAGAAAAATTCAATTTAAATCAAAGCGAAAATAATATTTTAAAAGTTCACCATAAAAACATTTTTTATTACTTAGTTATCCTTTAAATTGTCATAATTGATCCTCCAACCCTTAATTAAGTTAGGTTTAGTTCATCATTTATTTTTATTAAGACTCTCATTAAATTAGGTGGAGGGCGAAAACTTTTATCAAGGGAGAGCCATATCCATACCTAACTTGTGATGATCTCATTTAATACATGCCCTTTTACATTGAATACTAAACTTATTGATAGGAGTTTTCAAATAGAAGATTAAAAAAAAATCAGATCACGTATAAAAAACGAGATATAATATAATTTAATCTTAATTATTTTTAGAAATAAAAAGACAATTATCTATATAAATATAGATGTCATTAAAATATAAAAATATATAATTTTATGTATCCACAAACCCATTATATCTTAAAACAATATTCTATCAACTTCCCTGCAAAAATTTATTCGTACAACATAGATCAAAATAGTGGCAGAGATTACAGAAAAAAATATTGTATCTCTTCGAAATAATTCTCTTTCGTAAATCTAAAAGTTAAGACATACTCTATTAATAGGGTTGATTCAAGTGGTAGGTAGATTAATATCGTTTAATCATATCTCGAGTTTGAATTCATGTATACGCAGAAAATCTTTGCTAGGAAACTCATATATTAAAATTAAGTGTGCGACACGGGTCAAACTAGATTAGTTAATACAAAACCCTAGGGAACTAGAGGGAAACAAAAAAAAGTTAAGAAGTACAATATTTAAAAAGCAAAACAATATGATCGTTAAGAATCTTTAATCCATAAGAATTCTTACTTAAAAAACTTTAATCATCGAATAATTTTCAACTATTAGAATTATAATAAAATTTAACTGAATTACGAATTAAAAGTTGAGTTAATATGTAATAATGACCCTATTGATCTAAAATGTACTCATATGTTGTAGTTAAAATTTAGTTTAATTAGACCATATTGATAATGAAAAAAATATATTTTTCTCTTTTATACCAAACATTATTAAGAATATAATCATAAATTTTATATATATATTATAAATCATAACTAAACATATTAAAATTTTAAAATATTTATAATCTTAAACTTATTAAATGACTTCGGTGATTAAATTATATTTATTAAATATTTCGGGTTCAAATAGTTAGATATGTAAAGTAAAAATTAATTTAGAACTAAAATCAAATTTGTAAAATAAAATTAAAATATTTAAACATTTAAAAATTAATTTGAAATAATAATAATAATAATAATAATAATTTAAGAACTTATTATATAAGTAGCTCTAAATTTAACCTAAAAAAGCTAGACCAAGGGGTAGGGATAGTAGCACTGTAGCAGGGTTAAGTGAGGATTTCCATTCATTTAAGAGGGGGACCAAGTAAAGTTTGGCTTGAGCCAATTGGAAGTAGAGCAAAATTAAGAAATACATTATGGATTGGGGATCAAGGAGGTTTCTCATGGCTTTCCTTGTTGCTAATTTCGCTTTGAGCCCCCACTTTTGCAGTGCAGACACAGGTAGTAAGACCGTCTAATTTAAAGAGCATTCGCTAGATGATATAACATGACAATTCTCTAATTTGAATTTACGAACTTCATCATTTTGCAGCTCCACATTATAGTTTTATCCATGAAGCAACCTCAGCTCCTCCAGTCTCGTACCACGACTACATTATTGTTGGTGGAGGAACCGCCGGCTGTCCCTTGGCTGCAACTCTGTCGGAAAACGCCAGCGTTTTAGTCCTAGAAAGAGGAGGGTCTCCCTATCTCAAACCAGGCAAAACGGACAAAGGGAACTTCTTACTTGGTCTGTTCGATAGCTCGTCCGACTCATATGTTCAAGCATTTGTTTCGGAGGACGGAGTAAACAACCACCGAGGACGCGTGCTGGGCGGTGGCTCAGTCGTCAATGCAGGATTTTATTCCCATGCTCAAACTGAGTTTGTCAAGGAATCTGGTTTGGATGAAGCTTTGGTAAAAGATTCGTATCAATGGGTTGAAAAGAAGGTGACATTCAAGGCACCCGTGTTGCAGTGGCAATCTGCAGTGGGGGATGGGTTGCTTGAAGCTGGGGTTTCACCGTACAATGGATTTACGTATTACCACATTAATGGGACTAAGATTGGTGCTACCATTTTTGATACGGATGACCATAGACATAGTGCAGCTGACTTACTTGAGTATGCTAACCCGAAGAAGATCAAGGTTTACTTGCATGCCACGGTGCTCAAGATCATCATTACAACAGAAAGTAAACTCAACCGATAAACACGAATTATTAGTTTTGTTTGAATTGTTACCTTACTCTTTTCTTTATATTTAGGTTCACAACCAAGAGCTGAAGGGGTGATTTTTGAGGATGCATTGGGAGTAGGACACAAGGCACATTTAAAAAAAGACTCCAAGACCGAAATAATAGTATCAGCAGGTGCCATTGGTAGCCCGCAGCTATTAATGCTTAGCGGTATTGGACCTGCACATCAATTAGAGGCATTAGGCATCCAGGTGGTGATGAACCAACCCAGGGTTGGCCAAGGCTTGGCCGACAACGCATTGAACGGTCTTTTTATTCCTTCCCCTTCGCCGGTTGAGCTCTCACTGCTTTCCACCGTGGGCATAACGCAGTCTGGTAACTATATCGAAGCATGGAGTGGATTGAATTTGTCACCTTCCTTTGGGTGGATTTCAAAAATCCTTGACAAGGTTTTACCTAATATCTCCATCGATACAAGGCTCAAAGGTGGCTCTATAATTCATAAAGTTGGCCGTCCACTCTCAACAGGTTACATCGAGCTTCGAAGCACAAACCCATACGAGACCCCTAAGGTGAGGTTCAATTACTTGAAAGAACCAGAGGACTTGAGAAAATGTGTCCAAGGCATGCAAACCATACTAAATGTGGTAAATTCCAAAGCCTTTTCGAAATTTCGTTATCCGACAATCTCGACTCAGCAACTTCTGAACCTGGCGGCGGCGCTTCCAGTTAACCTGAGACCACGACATCTTAATACTGCAATATCTTTGGAACAGTATTGCAATGATACTTTGATTACATTTTGGCATCATCACGGGAGCTGTCGAGTTGGTAAGGTCGTGGATAAGGATTACAGGGTCATCGGCGTGGATGGACTTAGGGTTATCGATGCTTCCACCTTTGATTTCACACCTGGTACCAATCCTCAAGCTACGGTTATGATGCTTGGAAGGTAATATTTGTATCATTTCATATTCTCTTCACCTTTATAAATAATTATTACAAAAAAATCTGTTTATATAAAATTTTTTATTGAACTTTTGTTGCAGAGCCATGGGAGTACGAATTTTAAAAGAGAGACATTTGTTACATTTCTGGAGAAGGAATTAAACACGTAAATTACAGGGAACTGAACTCATCAAAGAAAACACAGATATATATGGTTGGCTATTATCCTAAATCATTTATAAAGAATAATATTTTCTTTTACTACCGAAGTTATGCGATGTACTTAAATTAAAATAAACGGATGAATTAAACCTAACTTAACTTGCTTCAAGTGCGGAGGATCAACTATGACAACTAATTTGGCAATGATGACACATGAAGATGTGAAAATAGTAATCAGTAAGGTAGTCATGAAGATACTTGTGACGATTTAAAAACTAGTCACTATTACATATAGTAATTGAAATAAGTCCTTCTAATATTCAATTTTTTCTTCCACAAAAATTATTACATTCCCTTGTTTTCCTTCTTAAACCTCTATCTTTCAGAATTCGTACTCCCATGTATCTGCATCAAAAGTTAATTACGTAAACATATATATGATTTTCGTACAAGAACTATTTGTAAAGGTGAAATGAAGAAGAATTGGTACAAATGTTACCTTCCAAGCATCATAACCGTAGCTTGAGGATTAGTTCCAGGCGTGACGTGAAAGGTCGAAGCATCGATAACCCTAAGGCTATCCACGCCAATGATCCTGTAATCACTATCCACGACCTTACCAACTTTGCAGCTCCCATGATAATGCCAAAACGTTAGCACTGTGTCTTTGCAGAATTGTTCCAAAGACGTCGCGGTATTCGGATGTCTCGGTCTAGCGTTCGATTGAAGTCCCGCAGCCAGATCCAGAAGCTGCTCGGTCGTCATCGACGGATGACGGAATCTCGAAAAGGATTTGGAGTTTATAACGCTTATGATGGTTTCCATGCCTCGTACACACTTTTTTACGTCCTGTGGTTCTTTGAAATAATTGAACCACACCTTGGGGTTGTCGTTTGGATCTGTGTTCCGGAGCTCGATATGGCCTGTTGAAAGTGGACGACCGTCTTTCTGAATGATAAGGCCGCCTTGAAGTCTTGTATTGATGAAGGCTCCGATATTGATCTTTGCTTCGTTTTACACATGCAACCACAGCCATTGTTAAACACTAACCATGATAAAAGAGAAGACACATGGAGATACAGAATAGTGAAGAGAAACCTTGTTTAGGTTTGTGGGCAATAGTTTTGCCATCTGTTCCTGGGGAGGAGGGGGCAAATTCAGTCCACTGCATGCTTCGATATAGTTACCGGACTGCGTTATGCCGACGGTGGGAAGGAGTGAGACCTCAACCGGCAAAGGGGATGGAACAACAAGACCATTCATTGCATTGTCGGCCATGTTTTGGCCAACCATGGGTTGATCCAGCACCACCTTTACCCGATTTGCCTTAAGCTGATTGGCAGGTCCAATACCACTCAGCATCAACAGCTGTGGGCTGCCAATGGCACCTGATGACACGATTATTTCGCTGTTCGGTTCTTCTGTCAAATATGCCTCGTGCCTTAATCCCGTTGCATCCTTGTATATTACTCCGGTTGCTTTTGGTCGTGATCCAGTGGCTAAATGAACATATAAGAATAAGAATTCACATAAAAAAAACTAATGATTTGTGTTTATTGACCGAGCTTACTTTCTGTTGTGATGATCTTGTGTACCGTGGCATGCAAGTAAACCTTAATATTCGTTGGGTTAGCATACTCGAGCAAGTCGGCAGCAGTATGTCTATGATCGTTTCTGTCGAAAATGGTGGCACCAATTTTAGTCCCTTTGATGTGGTCATACGTGAACTTGTTGTATGGTTTAACCCCAACTTCAAGCAACCCATCCTTCACTGCGGATTGCCACTGTAGCACAGGTGACTCGAATACCACCTTCTTTTCAACCCACTGATACGATTGTTTCACCAAGGCTTCATCCAAACGAGCTTCCTTTACGAACTCGGGGTCGGCATGCGAGTAAAACCCTGCATTGATGACCGAACCACCACCGAGCACGCGTGCTCGGTGTCCGTGCACTCCATCCTCCGACCTGAATTGTTGAGCATATGAATCGGACGAGGTATTATAGAGTTCAAGCAAGTAGTTCACTTTGTCTGTTCTCCCAGGTCTGAGATAGGGAGAACCTCCTCTTTCTAGAACCAAAACGTTGGCGCTTTCCGACAGTGTTGCGGCTAAGGGACAACCGGCGGTTCCTCCACCGATCACGATGTAGCTATGGTTCGAGAGCCGAGGAGCTGTTGTTGCTTCTCGAACGAAGCTGTAATTTGGAGCTGCAAAATAACAGATGTAGCTAAGTACGTAGCTCAAGGATGGGAAGGGAAAGTCTTGGAATTACCTTTCTCTGCGTAGCAAAAGCAAGGGTGCAGAGCAAGAACAGCAACAAGAAAAGCCATGAGAGACCTCCATGATACCCTTTCCATTATGTATTTCCTGTAGAATCTAACCTAATAATTATGAACACGATGAACTATTATACGAACACGATAAAAATAAGATTCAGACTTGTTTCTGCGTGGCAAAAGCAAAAGCAACAAGAAGAAAAAGCCTCGAGAAACCTCCATGATCCGAAATCCATGGTGTGTTTCCTAATTTTGCTTTACTTTCCAATCGGATCAAGTACGACTGTACAACTAAAACTTCACTTGGTCTCCCTCTTAAATATGCTCCAACCACGAAGATTTCAATAATTTTGAATACAACTCCAAATTATATATAGAGATGAATATAATCTAATTATACGATGTGAAATTAGTTTAAAACCATTAATTGAATACGAACAAATATTCGAAATTATTCACTAAATGAACTTATATAAAATAGAGTTATGGCATCATATGTACTCAAATTATGACCCTCATTTTAAATTGATCCTTAAACTTTTTAATACTTCAATTTTATCCCTAATACTCAGGAAAAAAATCAATGTAGCCCTCCTATTATTTTTCTCAATGTGACCCTCCAACTCAAAAAATAAACACAATGCGATCCTTTGACCAACGATTTTTCGTCATTGACCATTACGGTGCTGACGTGGCAATTTACCTGCTATGTTTGAGTTATCAATTTAGCCCATCTTTCATGTCATCTGTCACGATATCAAATACCGTGGACTGTCACGTAAGTACCTTAAAGTCAACGATGAAAAATGTTGGTCAAATGATCACATTGAGTTTATTTTATGAGTTGGAGGGTCACGTTGAGAGAAAAAATAATACGATGGTCATATTGGGGTTTTTTTTCAAAAGTATAGGGATTATTGATGATTTTTACCTATTAAAAATTATAAAAATAGGATTTTAAATTTGTTTACTAAACAAATCTCCGTAACTTGAATCTATTCTTATTCCTGAAACATATTTTAATGGAATCAAACTTTAAATTTGTTAAAAAATAATTATGAATAAGAATTCACAGTCCTTATGAATTATCTATTACATTCATTAAATTTGGCCCCTCTGACTGACTCAGTCAAACCAATCATCTACTCAACAACTCGAGAGTTATTACGTTAAGAAAACTTTTGGGTAAATTATACATTTAGTATATATACTATCATTTTTGGTTCGTTTTAGTACCTAAATATTTTCATTCTTTTCAAAATCATATGCAATGCTTAGTTTTTATTACATTTTAGTACCCCAACATTAAAAACTTAACACCTTTAGTACCTAAACTATCAGTTTTGGTCCGTTTTAATACCTAAACTTTCAGTCGTTTTAAAACTTAACATTAAATTTTAAACAGGGTACTAAAATGAAACAAAAACTAAAATTTTTAAAGACGGGATACTAAAATAAAACAAAAATGAAATATTAGTTATATTTTTGACAAAATTAAAAGTTTAGGTACTAAAATAGACCAAAACTAATAGTTTAGATACTAAACACGTAAATTACCCAAAAATCAAAAGATTGAAAAGAATAGTGTCCATGTGGTTGGTTATTAGTGGTTCTTCTTTTGCGTTGTTAGAATTGGATGACCAAATACTCTGTTTCTTCATGCATGAATTGATTGTTAGTTATAATTAGTTATAAAGATAGGTACACAACTATTTGACTTTCTTCGTTAAGGGTAAACTATGTCAATAGTCATTTTTTCGATCGGATCACTGATTTTTTAATTAAGTGTGTTTGGTCTCTTACGTTGTATAATAAAATTGAAGAAATAAAAAAAATTAAATACGATTTTTTAAATTCAAAATGGAATTATATTGCTCAATTTTTTAAATTTATCATAAGATCTTTTAATAAATTATAAGATAAAATTAAACAAATAAAATTAAAAAATTAGTAATATTATATTTTGTAAACTCGAACGTGTATGTTTGCGTTTAGTTTTAAGCTTAAAATTTATTTTTTATGTTTTATTAATTAAAAATCATAAAAGCAAACTAAAAAATATCAATTTTCATGTTTTTAAATTTAAATTTTATTTTTAAAAAAGCACGTAATACAATTCAATCAATCTTTTATTAAAAAAAACCAACTAGGGGTGTAAACATGTAGAGTCGAGCTTGAGTATTGCTGAACTCCAATCGAACTCGAAAAGGTCAAAATTGAGTTCTACTCTACTCCGTTCAAAAGCTCGTGTGCTAAAAATTATCAAACTCAATTAAAACTTGAAATCAATAAAATTAGAACTCGAGATCGATTGAAGCTCGAAAATTGACTCGAATATACCCTTAATGCCTTCTCTTATATTGTATTATTGTAAACGAGCCGAGTAGAGCTCGAGTATTGCTGATCTAGTCTCGACTCTGCTCGAAAGCTCGCGAGCTAAAAATTATCAAATTCGAAATAAAAAAATAAAGCTCGACTCGAAATTAAGAAAACTCGAACTCTAAACAATTTCAGGAACTCGATTGAAACTCGAACTCGAGATCGATCGTAGCTCCAAAACGGACTTGAATATACCCATAATGCCTTCTCTTATATTGTATTATTGTGCCCAATCCTTTATGTAAATTTTGAGATTGTTTCTGGAAGTTCAATCCATCTTTACTTTCCAAATTACTTCCTCATTTCTTCGATAAAGATCATGTACGTGACGTATGTCTAATCAATCAATCTTAAAAAAAATTAAAAAAACTAACCCAGAAATTAAACAAATATATTATGGATGTATATGCATCATCAAATTTAATCACTGTATTTTTATATAAAGGGAGGGTTTTTAAATCACTTAAAAATGTACCAAAGATGAACACGTGTACTTAAATGCAAATAGGATGTTTGAATTTGCAGCCCAGCTCTGCTTTAATTCACCTACAGACAAAGTTGCTTAAGACTTTACTTCCGATGACATATAGATGATGGCTCTTGACGTTTTAAACTGCAATTTCTACCAGAAATTCGTTTAATTTTGTTTTAATGAGATATCAGGTTTGAAAGCTGAAATAAGAAGAAGAAGAAGAAGAAAAGTAATTTACAGAGCTGAAATTTCCATGGAGAATCCAATCTCCATGTACATATGAGCTTCAACTGTTCATCTACTTTTACATTAACTAAAACCCAGTATGCAAAACAATACATATTCTTCTGTTATCATGTATGATTAATATGAAGAAGCTTTCTTTTGTGTATTTGTGTAGCTAAATTCTATAGCTTCGTACCAGCCGAAGGAATGATCATGATGACGAGGCCGGGGAAAACATCGTCGGGGTCGTGGATGTGAGGGTTGCGCTCGACGATGAACGGGTCGCCGCACTTGTCGCTGATCGAGTGAAGGGTCTCCCCTTCGGTCACGACGTAGATTTCGTCGCAGCGACGGTTCAGGAGCTGGGCGCCTCTAACAGCTGGTTCGTCGGAGACGGAACTTGCCCTGATGGACCCTATGAGTATTAAGGCCAGTAAGGCCACGGAACAGTACCACGAGGCGGCATCCACTAGCCCCGTTGATTTGATCTTCATGGTTTTTCTTGAATTAGAAGAAGAGGAAGCCATGGAGGAGACTGAGAAACAGAGGTTAGGGATTTGTTTTTGTTGAAGAACTTTGATGAAACAGAGCAAATACTGGAAGGATACGGTCGGAAGGAAATGAAGTGCCTTTTCATAAGTTACTCGCTATTTATTATATACATAAGGATTTACATGGGCTAAATCAACGAGATAATGTTGTTGGAAAAAAAATTTTACGAGATAAAGCGTTCCAACAATTAATTGTTGAGATAGGGTGAAATCTACAATTCGAACATATGTCGCCAGGCGCTCCTGGCGACCAAGGAGGTCGCCATGCTGTCTCTGCGAGCTGTGGTAAGCTACTGTATTACCTATATCGATAATTAGACTTTTACCCGAAACCCCAGTTTGGTCGTCGAGATCACATGGCGACTTATAAGGTCTCCCGGCATACATGGCGACCTCCATTTCAACCTAATTAAAAAGCCTAATTACCGATGTAGGTAATCGTTATTACTTAAGGAAATTTAGGTAATCGCATGAAAGCCTAATTACCGATGTAGGTAATATTTGTTACTTAGCCTCAGCGTGTTGGGACGTGCATGACACATGCAAAATCTCTCGTAGCTCGCCGGGAAGAAATGACGACCTAGTAGGTCGCACGGATGGCATGGCGACCTACGGCTAACACTGTAGATTTCACCCTATTTGAGTAATTAATCTGGGGATTACATTATCTCGTGAATTAATTTATTCGAAAAATTATCTCGAAAGTTTTGCCGATTTACAGGTCCTATACATTTTTTAAAAAATCAATTTTTTAAAAAATCAACATGGTTCTCGTATTATTAAAAAAGTCATGTATGTTTGTAAAACAATCAATGTAGTTCTCGTATGATTTTTTTAGTGTGCTCTTTTGATTTAGAAAACAAATCCAGTATAATTCTTTGATCAACATTTTTCACCATTGACCATTATAATACCGACATACCAATTTACGATGTTGCCATGGTAATCTATCTATCATGCTTAAGTTATCAATTTAGTCAATCTACCATGTCATCTGTCACGTTATTCTGCCACCCTAGGCTGTCATGTCAACATCGAAGATTGTCACGTTAACACCGTGAAATATCACATCAACATTATAACAGTCATCGACGAGAAAACGTTGATCAAATGATCACATTGAATTTATTTTCTCAGCTGAAGACCGCATTGAGTGAAAAATAATACGATGATCGTATTAGTTTTTTAAATATTATAAAATTAATAAAATATAAGAAAAGAACACCATTTCATTTATATTACGTGCTATATATTCCTCATCCAAAGTTGGGTAGTAAGATATAAATGGTTAAAATATGCTTAAAGTCCTTGCATTCTTTTTTTTTATAAATCTGAAATGAATATTTTTTTATAAATCTGAAATGAATGCAAGATAATATCTTTTTAAAGACATTCAATTATTTGATAATAAACGTTTATATTTTTGCATATGCGGTGCTCGAACCTAAGACTTC